GGAAGAGGAGCTCCGTCTTGCCGAGGTTCAGCTTGAGGTGGTGATCCGTCATCCACACTGATATGTCTGCCAGACATGCAGAGATGCGATTCGCCACCTGGTTATCAGAAGGGGGAAAGGAGAAGATTAGTTGTGTGTCGTCAGCGTAGCAATGATAGGAGAGGCCATGTGAGGATATGACAGAGCCAAGTGACTTGGTGTATAGCGAGAATAGGAGAGGGCCTAGAACTGAGCCCTGGGGGACACCAGTGGTGAGAGCACGTGGTGCGGAGACAGCTTCTCGCCACGCCACTTGGTAGGAGCGACCGGTCAGGTAGGACGCAATCCAAGAGTGAGCCGCGCCGGAGATGCCCAGCTCGGAGAGGGTGGAGAGGAGGATCTGATGGTTCACAGTATCAAAGGCAGCAGACAGGTCTAGAAGGACAAGATCAGAGGAGAGAGAGTTAGCTTTAGCAGTGCGGAGAGCCTCTGTGACACAGAGAAGAGCAGTCTCAGTTGAATGACCAGTCTTGAAACCTGACTGGTTTGGATCAAGAAGGTCATTCTGAGAGAGATAGCAAGAGAGTTGGCTAAAGACGGCACGCTCAATAGTTTTGGAGAGAAAAGAAAGAAGGGATACTGGTCTGTAGTTGTTGACATCGGAGGGATCGAGTGTTGGTTTTTTGAGAAGGGGTGCAACTCTCGCTCTCTTGAAGACGGAAGGGACATAGCCAGCGGTCAAGGATGAGTTGATCAGCGAGGTGAGGCGTTTGTGTAGCCTGTGCGGAGAGGAGAGAACAGGGATAGGCAGAGGCATAGTTGACAGGCTGCAGCAGATGGCTACAATAATGCAGAGGAGATCGGAATAAAATGAACTAAACATCTGGAAAAGGAGAGAGCGGGTCCTCCCTCACCACAACTCCCAAATATAACTCTCCCAACTTCCACCTCAGAAACTATAATTGTTGTAAACTACAGCGGTTCAATGTTTTCTAGGAATAGACTAACCTAGTTTATTCAGCTAGCTAACTAGGTGCAGTATTATTCCGTGAAAAACATCCGGGCACCTCGTCATAAGACGCCACAGCCAGCTAGCATGCCGGTCTCCAGCAGCAGGGTTTAGCGCCAATACTCAGCCACAACAACCACCGGTGTATCAACACACAAGCAGATCGTTCGTGTCCGTGTCTAACGTTGTGGGTTAGTCCCGACAGCTTGAGCGAGTCCGTCGTCAACTTATTCAGCCAGTTAGTTAGCTAGAATAGTTAGCAAACTAGCTAGCCATTGCTTTCAGACAAAGAAGAACCCCTCCTTTCACGGCACGAACACACAGAGAGAGCCAAACTAACGTTAACTAGTCACCCATGTCCCGAATTCCTTGAGCGACTCGGGCTATCAATATGTAAAAAACAAAACACAAGTGTAGGTTATGACTTACCCCTAGCAGCTACTGTTAGCTAGCCAAGTGCAAAGCTAGCCACTGAATTGACTCAGCCAGTTCGCGTCTGTTCGCTCGGTCGTTCCAGCTATTGTTTACAAGTAGCTATCCAGGTTGCAACAAGCTTGCTAATTTTCAAGCACAGTAGCCACTTGCTACCTAACGTTAACGGTTCAGACAATGAGGTTAGAAAACAGCTGAATGGTAGGCAGTTATTGTATGTAATTATTGTAGGCAGCCAGCTGGCGTAATTACAGGCACTCTCAGGCGTGAAACAACTATACCGTTGCTAATAGCTACTCGCCAGCTAGTCCGGGTGGTGAGTTAGCTAGCTAGCTAGCTTCGTGCTACACCCGGCACCGCCGAATACAATACTAACCTACAATAATTACATACAACAACTACCTACAACAACCCACGATACCTACCTACAATACCTAACTACAATCTAAATACATAGTTTAAGCCTTACTCGACAAAGCCCAAGCTATGTATAAAGCCAAACTTACCCGGCGCCAAGCTTACCCGACGACCTGTTTTTTAGAAACACTTAAAATAAGGGTATAAACACAAAAGAACTGTCAATCTCCCTTGGCCTGGGGCTCCATGCAAGATCTCACCTCGTGGAGTTGCAATGATCATGAGAACGGTGAGGAATCAGCCCAGAACTACACGGAAGGATCTTGTCAATGATCTCAAGGCAGCTGGGACCATAGTCACCAAGAAAACAATTGGTAACACACTACGCCGTGAAGGACTGAAATCCTGCAGCGCCCGCAAGGTCCCCCTGCTCAAGAAAGCACATATACAGGACCGTCTGAAGTTTGCCAATGAACATCTGAATGATTCAGAGGAGAACTGGGTGAAAGTGTTGTGGTCAGATGAGACCAAAATCGAGCTCTTTGGCATCAACTCAACTCTCCGTGTTTGGAGGAGGAGGAATGCTGCCTATGACCCCAAGAACACCATCCCCACCGTCAAACATGGAGGTAGAAAACATTATGCTTTGGGTGTGTTTTTCTGGGACGATGGACGGGGCAATGTACCGTCAAATCTTGGGTGAGAACCTCCTTCCCTCAGCCAGGGCATTGAAAATGGGTTGTGGATGGGTATTCCAGCATGACAATGACCCAAAACACACAGCCAAGGCAACAAAGAAGTGGCTCAAGAAGAAGCACATTAAGGTCCTGGAGTGGCCTAGCCAGTCTCCAGACCTTAATCCCATAGAAAATCTGTGGAGGGAGCTGAAGGTTCGAGTTGCCAAACGTCAGCCTCGAAACCTTAATGACTTGGAGAAGATCTGCAAAGAGGAGTGGAACAAAATCCCTCCTGAGATGTGTGCAAACCTGGTGGCCAACTACAAGAACCGTCTGACCTCTGTGATTGCCAACAAGGGTTTTGCCACCAAGTAGTAAGTCATATTTTGCAGAGGGGTCAAATACTTATTTCTCTCATTAAAATGCAAATCAATTTATAACATTTTTTTACATGCGTTTTTCTGGATTTTTTTGTTGTTATTCTGTCTCTCACTGTTCAAATAAACCTACCATTAAAATTATAGACTGATCATGTCTTTGTCAGTGGGCAAACGTACAAAATCAGCAGGGGATCAAATACTTTTTTCCCCTCACTGTATATTCTTAATTCATTCCTTACTTAGATTTGTGTGTTTTGGGTATATGTTGTGAAATTGTTAGATATTACTGCACTGGCGAAGGTAGAAGCACAAGCATTTCGCTACACCCGCATTAACATCTGCTAAACACGTGTATGTGACGAATACAATTTGATTTGATTTGATTTAAATAATGAGCTGTAGTCCCTGTTTCATCATTAACAACATAGCTCGCCTGCTGCTATCAGGTATTTACAACCAAATACAAAGTTACAAAATAAATATCTGCATATAAATTACATTATTGCTTACAGAACATGACCTTTTAAGACCTTTGGTGTATTTGGCTTGAGAAAATGTGTGTGTCCTACTTACACAACACCTAATATGCGCCCCACCCACCAGCGGCAAGGCAGAATCACTCGGCAAGCTACCTGGCAGCCTCTGTAGTTGTAGGGCCAAGGCCAGTGGTCGCCCAAGGGTTTCGCATATCCTCTGGCAGTGGGTGTAGCTGCGTCGGCACTCTGAGCAGCAAATCCCCTGGTGGTCATGGGGTCAAAGGTCATGGCACCCTCCTCTCCCTCCTGATTGCGCTGTGGAGTGATAGGTAAATTATTTATGTTTCTGCTCAATGTTTTCACGTGAACTTGATATGCAGTACATCGTTTATTTTCAGTTTTCCAACAATACTCTTTTAGGAATAGCCCACAGTTTCTAACGAGCTGAATCATAGCCCACAGTTCTAATGAGCTGAATCATAGCCCATGGTTCTAATGAGCTGAATCATAGCCCACGGTTCTAATGAGCTGAATCATAGCCCACGGTTCTAATGAGCTGAATCATAGCCCACGGTTCTAACGAGCTGAATCATAGCCCACAGTTCTAATGAGCTGAATCATAGCCCACGGTTCTAATGAGTTTAATCATAGCCCACGGTTCTAATGAGCTGAATCATAGCCCACGGTTCTAACAAGCTGAATCATAGCCCACGGTTCTAATGAGCTGAATCATAGCCCACGGTTCTAACAAGCTGAATCATAGCCCACGGTTCTAACGAGCTGAATCATAGCCCACGGTTCTAATGAGTTTAATCATAGCCCACGGTTCTAATGAGCTGAATCATAGCCCACGGTTCTAACAAGCTGAATCATAGCCCACAGTTCTAATGAGCTGAATCATAGTCCAATGTTTCTAACCATTTTGTTGATGGTGGTGGAAAACGCTGTTTCAGGCGCACTCCAGAATCTCCCATGTGTTGAATAGGGTCTGGAGACTGAGACGGCCATGGCATATGGCTTACATCGTTTTCATGCTCATCAAACCGTTCAGTAAACACTCGTGCCCTGTGGATGGGGGCGTTGTCATCCTATGGGGGCATAGCAATGGTAGCCAAAATAATGGCCAAAAGTATGGCCTACCCAGCATCTTTATACATGACCCAAGCATGATGGGATGTTAATTGCTTAATTAAATTAGGAAACACACCTGTGTTGACGCACCTGCTTTCAATATACTTTGTATCCTTCATTTACTCAAGTGTATGCATTATTTTGGCAGTTACCTGAATATCTCTATCACAATCTACAATCTCAGTTACCTGAATATCTCTATCACAATCTATAATCTCAGTTACCTGAATATCTCTATCACAATCTATAATCTCAGTTACCTGAATATCTCTATCACAATCTATAATCTCAGTTACCTGAATATCTCTATCACAATCTATAATCTCAGTTACCTGAATATCTCTATCACAATCTATAATCTCAGTTACCTGAATATCTCTATCACAATCTATAATCTCGTTATATAACAACTACATCTCTATCTCATTCTAGAACAGCGAACTCCTGTTCTACAGTACATCTCCTAACTCTGTGCTGTTCCTTATTCTATCACGAAGCCTTGTGAATAGCAGGAGCCAATAGAGAGGAACCTTTAGGATATGTGGGGTGGAGCCAGAAGATGGGCAGGTCTCCACAGAGGTCCAGGATCTTCGTGCTGAGGAAGCTGCTTTTCTTCAGGGGCTGGTCAGCAGCTACCCAGATCAGAGACTTCTTGTCAAACTTCACTGGCATTATTTCATCTTCCTGACAGGGGGCGAAATACACCTCATCAGGCCATTATTAGTTCAGTATGTCCTCAGGCTTATCAATCACCATTATGGTTCATTTCAAAACAATATAATTCAATTTAAAAATGAATGTAAACAAATTAATTAGTTTCTGTAAAGCCCAATTGACTAATGGATTATTGAAATATCCTTGAGTATTATAAATGAAAATTAATATCTAGAACAGAAGGGGGGGGGGGGGGGGCTCTATACTTTTGCATAAAGTTAGCAATATGTTCAGTTATAACATTATGTTTTAGTTATGTTTAGTAAAGCTCACGGTACCAGGTCAAACATCAATGACTCCTTGTTGAGCGTCTCCACCTCTGGAATGTTGGCTTTGATTTGAGATTTAATATAACACACAACCGGATTCCAGTAATTCCCTGAATCAGGAGTCACGGAGATGGGATATTTACACTCACAACTTTGCTACTTTCCTAAACACACGCCAACTCTCCGTTGAACTACTCCAAAAAGAAATTAAGAACAACTCACCATATGAAAGTCTTGAACCTTCAACGCCTCGTCATTTCCACTCCCAGTTCGGAACCTTTCCAGATTATTATCGGAATCGATTTCCATGGAAACCCTCTTCCACCATTCCATTGATGCTCATACTGTAATGTACATTGTACACCTAATGAGATGTAAAAATTGAAAGTTACAGAGATATTCAAGGTTATGCGTAATACATACAGTAAACAATCAAAATAACATATCTAACTTGCCAGCTATGAACTACACGTGGTCAAAAACCTTATTTGTAGAACCCAAAATGTACAATTACAATAGCTGGAGATATGGCAGGAGGCTTTCTAACAATAATCTTCACTGCAAGGTCCTTCCATGACACAATACTTCAAACTGCCTCCCTCCTTGTGTTCTACTGTGCAGCACTTAAAATACCGTGTGATGTGTAGTCCAAGCACACAGCTGATTTGAATAGAACGTCTCAGAGGGAGGACATGGATCTACCCTGAGATGCCCTACAGGTGATCCCATTATAACATAAATAAATATTCAAGTATCTCTAATGAGACAGTCTCCACCACCCAGGCCTGAGTTACATGCCCAAAATATTCACATCAAAGCTATTTGATTCTAATGTGAAATTGAATATGTTGGTATAGAAATTATTTAACAGATGTTTAAAAAAGATTTTCGACCAGCAAAATCCAAATGTAATTTCCAATGCCCACCACACCATCCACTGCCAGGCTATATTAGATGTTTTATGATGAATGGTAGACATTATGCAGAGATTTGTTAACTAAGATATCATATTTTTCCATTTTCTGTAGGCCTACTGTGTTTGACACTGAAAAAGGTGCAGCGACTGCAGCATACCACTCGGACCCTGGGTTACAGGTAGACCATCGAAATTCTCCCACCTGACGTCGAGGTAGATTTACCTGTCTCATCTGCATTTTAAACTGTCAATTACATCATAAAATGACCCATATTGAGGTATATGCAGGATAAATTAAGTCTTACATTTTTGTCACTGACTTTCCAAAGGTAGAAAGCTCCAATGGATCCGCAAAGCATCTACAGTGGCTTGCGAAAGTATTCACCCCATTGGCATTTTTCTTATTTTATTGCCTTACAACCTGGAATGAAAATTTATTTTTGTACCATTTGATTTACACAACATGCCTACCACTTTGAAGATGCAAAATACTATTTTTTTTGTGAAACAAACAACAAATAAGACAAGAAAAACAGGAAACTTGAGCATGCATAACTATTCACCCCCCCAAATTCAATACTTTGTAGCGCCACCTTTTGCAGCAATTACAGCTGCAAGGCTCTTGGGGTATGTCTCTATAAGCTTGGCACATCTAGCCACTGGGATTTTTGCCCATTCTTCAAGGCAAAACTGCTCCAGCTCCTTCAAGTTGGATGGGTTCTGCTGGTGTACAACAATCTTTAAGTCATACCACAGATTCTCAATTGGATTGAGGCCTGGGCTTTGACTAAGCCATTCCAAGACATTTAAATGTTTCCCCTTAAACCACTCAAGTGTTGCTTTAGCAGTATGCTTAGGGTCATTGTCCTGCTGGAAGGTGAACCTCCGTCCCAGTCTCAAATCTCTGGAAGACTGAAACAGGTTTCCCTCAAGAATTTCCCTGTATTTAACGCCATCCATCATCCCTTAAATTCTGACCAGTTTCCCAGTCCCTGCCGATGAAAAACATCCCCACAGCATGATGCTGCCACTACCATGCTTCACTGTGGGGATGGTGTTCTCAGGGTGATGAGAGGTGTTGGGTTTACGCCAGACATAGCGTTTTCCTTGATGGCCATAAAGCTCAATTTTAGTCTCATCTGACCAGAGTACCTTCTTCCATATGTTTGGGGAGTCTCCCACATGCCTTTTGGTGAACACCAAATGTGTTTGCTTATTTTATTCTTCAAGCAATGGCTTTTTTCTGGCCACTCTTCCGTAAAGCCCAGCTCTGTGGAGTGTACGGCTTAAAGTGGTCCTATGGACAGATACTCCAATCTCTGCTGTGGAGCTTTGCAGCTCCTTCAGGGTTATCTTTGGTCTCTTTGTTGCCTCTCTGATTAATGCCCTCCTTGCCTGGTCTGTGAGTTTTGGTGGGCGGCCCTCTCTTGGCAGGTTTGTTGTGGTGCCATATTCTTTCCATTTTTTTATAATGGATTTAATGGTGCTCTGTGGAATGTTCAAAGTTTCTGTTATTTTTTTATAATCCAACCCTGATCTGTACTTCTACACAACTTTGTCCCTGACCTGTTTGGAGAGCTCCTTGGTCTTCATGGTGCCGTTTGCTTGGTGGTGCCCCTTGCTTAGTGGTGTTGCAGACTCTGGGGCCTTTCAGAACAGGTGTATATATACTGAGCTCACATGACAGGTCATGTGACACTTAGATTGCACACAGGTGGACTATTTAACTAATTATGTGACTTCTGAAGGTAATTGGTTGCACCAGATCTTATTTAGGGGCTTCATAGCAAAAGGGGTGAATACATATGCACGCACCAATTTTCCGTTATTTTTTTATTTTTATTTTTTAAACATGTTATTTTTTTTATTTCACTTCACCAATTTGGACTATTTTGTGTATCTCCATTACATGAAACCCAAATAGAAATCCATTTAAATTACAGGTTGTAATGCAACAAAATAGGAAAAACACCAAGGTGGATGAATACTTTTGCAAGGCACTGTACACTGCCCCCCGGCGACGAGAGCCGCAACCCAAAATCTCAAGAGACGACCAACAGCAGCGGCGGACTTCGCAGCCGACGAACTGTATGCCTTTACAAAGGTCAGAATGCTAAGTGAGCATCAATGCACACACTCAACATCAAAGCAAAGCCCCACGAGCAAACCATATTTCCTTTGCAATTCCGACTTTGCAAACTCCAAATAATTTATTAGACTACAGCGCCGAGGAATTATTAAATGTAGGCTACTTACAGCATTGTTCAAAATCCTCTGCAACTGGGACTTTTTCCGAAGTCTCGCCCATGATGCCGTCTGTATATTGGCCACCGGTGTTGATAATGTTGGTGGAAATAACCACAGGTCCAGTTTGGAAACATTCAGTGTGAATGACGTGCCACTGACCGAGAGCAAAGAGAAATGAAGGTGGTTGACAAAACAGTGCTTTGGCAGCAAAACCGAATTGCAGTGAATGTATATCAGGTCTTCACAACATGGTGGTGTTCTTTGATGGTTTGGTTTACAGTCCACGTGGTTCATCAAGTTGAATAATGAGGTTAACACATGTACAATAGCCAGGCTATATGCTATTAGGCTACACTACTTTTAGCATCACTTTTCACAGCTGTTTTGGCACAGGGTTGGAATGTCAGTTGTTAATTGTCTGCACTAATGAGATAAACTTGGATGGTACTGTTACGGGTGTTCATGGAATGGATCCACAAGAAGTTCAGCTAAGTCATCACCGGTAGGCTAAAGTTTCCCACAGCTTCGGCCAAGAGGTCTGCAACTTTATGGCACAGGAGGTAATAATCTTGCTTTGTAAGAAGCTGGTTCAAGCTACCCTAGCTGGCCCCTGATCATTACATTGTAGTGACATTGGGGCTACCCTGACCCTGTCAGAGGTTGGTTTTTAATTTGGCCTTCAAATCAGACATGGCTTATTATAGTTCAGAAGAATGTGTCAGTCTCCACAACCTTATATTGGAAGTTCATGTGATGAAATGTCTAGCCAGTCCCTATGTCCAACCTGCTCCCTCAGAGGTGATAACTATAGAGCCAACCTGCTCCCTCAGAGGTGATAACTATAGAGCCAACCTGCTCCCTCAGAGGTGATAACTATAGAGCCAACCTGCTCCTCAGAGGTGATAACTATAGAGCCAACCTGCTCCTCAGAGGTGATAACTATAGAGCCAACCTGCTCCTCAGAGGTGATAACTATAGAGCCAACCTACTCCCTCAGAGGTGATAACTATAGAGCCAACCTGCTCCCCAGAGGTGATAACTATAGAGCCAACCTGCTCCCTCAGAGGTGATAACTATGGAGCCAACCTGCTCCCCAGAGGTGATAACTATAGAGCCAACCTGCTCCCCAGAGGTGATAACTATAGAGCCAACCTGCTCCTCAGAGGTGATAACTATAGAGCCAACCTGCTCCCCAGAGGTGATAACTATAGAGCCAACCTACTCCCTCAGAGGTGATAACTATAGAGCCAACCTGCTCCCCAGAGGTGATAACTATAGAGCCAACCTACTCCCTCAGAGGTGATAACTATAGAGCCAACCTGCTCCTCAGAGGTGATAACTATAGAGCCAACCTGCTCCCCAGAGGTGATAACTATAGAGCCAACCTGCTCCTCAGAGGTGATAACTATAGAGCCAACCTGCTCCCCAAAGGTGATAACTATAGAGCCAACCTGCTCCTCAGAGGTGATAACTATAGAGCCAACCTGCTCCTCAGAGGTGATAACTATAGAGCCAACCTGCTCCCTCAGAGGTGATAACTATAGAGCCAACCTGCTCCTCAGAGGTGATAACTATGGAGCCAACCTGCTCCTCAGAGGTGATAACTATAGAGCCAACCTGCTCCCCAGAGGTGATAACTATAGAGCCAACCTGCTATGAATGGTAAATAATGTATTGTATCATTTTGGAATCACTTTTACTTTAAATAAGAATAGAATATGTTTCTAAACACTTCTACATTCATGTGGATGCTACCATGATTAGGGATAGTCCTGAATGAATGGTGAATAATTATGTAATGGTGAGATGTTAGCATGTCTTGGTGGCATGATGTTTGTGCGTCTGTAACTCCAAAATGATACAATACATTATTTACCATTCATTTCTATTGGGCACAAAATAATCTGAAACATAACCAAAAGAAACAGCAAATGCATTCAACAAGTGTGGAAAGTCACAATATTGATGTAATCATTGTGTGCTAGGAATATGGGACCAAATGCCAAACTGTTGACTACTTTAATACACATATAAGTGAATTTGTCCAAATACTTTTGGCCCCATAAAATGAGGGGACTATGTACAAAAAGTGCTGTAATTTCTAAACAGTTTATCCGATACTGATAAAAATGCCCTCAAAATAAAGCTGACAGTCTGCACGTTAACCTCATAGTCATTGTATCATTCCAAATCCAAAGTGATGGACTACAGAACCAAAACAACAAAACATATGTCACTGTCCCAATACTTTTGGAACTTTATATTTACATCATTTTTTTATTTTTTTATTTCACCTTTATTTAACCAGGTAAACCAGTTGAGAACAAGTTCTCATTTACAACTGCGACCTGGCCAAGATAAAGCAAAGCAGTGCGATAAAAACAACAACACAGAGTTACATATGGGGTAAAACAAAGTCAAAAAATACAACAGAAATACATATATAGATATATACAAAATAGACAAAAAAAACAAGAAACGGGATATTTACACAGGACGATGAAACAAAAGCGACCGCACTGCTACGCCATCTTGTAAGCAGACACTCTTATCCAGAGCGACTTACAGTTAGTGAGTGCATACATTTTAAATACTGGCCCCCCGTGGGAATCGAACCCACAACCCTGGCGTTGCAAACGCCATGCTCTACCAACTGAGCTACATCCCTGCCGGCCATTCCCTCCCCTACCCTGGGCCAATTGTGCGCCGCCCCATGGGTCTCCCGGTCGCGGCCGGCTACGACAGGACAAACTTTTTTGTTTAGCAAATATACTTTTTGAATTACTTTTATAACTCTGCACTGTGCAGAAAAGGCTCCTAACTAAGCATTTCACTGTAAAGTCTACACTTGTTGTATTCGACGTATGTGACCAATAACATTTTTTTATTTCATTTGATTCATCAGTGTAGTTTGGCCTAGGTTTATCACTGTTTCAGGGAAGATCCTTTGCTAAGCATACAGTATGTATTAGCCCTCATGGTAACTGTAGGGAAGCACTGAGCTGGCTAAGTGAGATTATTCTGTGAGTTTTATAAATAATGTCTGATGAGAGTAGAAAACACAATGCCTCTGAGGCTTATTAGACAAGGTGCAACACCATGCAGCAGGAATGGAATGTTGGTCATTTAGCTTTTCAATTTGCAATCTCTGTTGAAATCATGCCATATCTAATTTAGCCTCATCTAATTTGGATGAGGTTAAGCTACATAATGTAACTATAATGTAACATGGCATTGCTATCAGGCATGATATATACTGCACGAGCTAATTTCTCACTCAATGAAACAAAATGAATGTATGGAAGCACACTGTAGATTTAAGCGGTCTTTTTTTTTTTACATACAGAACAATCGTTTGGTTTCAAATATTTATTTGTGCAACGTAGTGACAAATTTTACTACAAACATGTTCATATTTGATACTGATTGTTTCCCACCTGACAAGGGTCCTTTCAGCCTAAAGGTCCAATGGTCATGCCCTTAAATATTAAAAGTTCAAACATGCTCTTCCAAATTCAGAATACAATTGTAGTTTACATTTAATCATTATGAAAAATATATTCTTAATGTACAAAATCTTGCGTATGACACATTATACATTATACAATTAACAGTATACATTATAAGGGGACAATCACACAAAACACTTACCATAACACTAACATTGAAACAATAGGATATACAGTATATAAAGATGCATATTACTCATTAGATGAGCTTTGATTATTGTCCATTTCATTTAAGAGTGTCCATACTCCGGGAGGGATATCTCACCAGTCTCTAGTATCCTGGCTGGTGTTGGTGGACAAACCAGAATATAATCAAATTCTTGGTGCTGGACTTTTTCATAGACGCTTTGCAGACCGTTGGTCTTGGGTAGGTGAGCCTGTTGGTAGTATGTGTCTCTTTGCAGAGTGTTCCGTGGCAGCGAGGCTGTCTTGGAGAAGGTTGAGAGGTGTGGTCCGTGGGACAGGCTGGTGTTGGCTCTGGAGGCTGAGGGGCTCCAGCATCGGTCGGAGTGGCCCAGGATCTTACACTCACTGGTGCAGGCCCAGAGACCTGTAGAAACAACACAACAGCAAAACCGTTAGCCCTTGGTGAACCGTGCTGCACACGTTGGGGTATAATAGAATGGATTTTATGACACACCAATATCATTTAATATCTGACCCTAAAGAGCTTGAGAACATCACAGAGGATGATGCCTTTTATGGATTTGTTAATAATGTGTCATCGTTGTGTCTGAAATCACATGAACATCCTGTGATTGATTTGTAGTCCTTACTGTTTATCGGTGGGGAGTTGTTTTTGTGTCCATCTCCACTGATGTCAGAGTCGCTGTCGTTAAAGTCACTGTCTCCTTTCCCACTGTCCTTCCCACTGAACTGAGGATCTCTGGCTGAGATGGTTGTGAATGAGTTGCCCTTCCATATGGTTATGGGTCGGAGGGTTCCTTTCCGATAGCCGGGCAGTGTTGAATAACCCTGTGAAGAGGCAAACACAATACTCACACAGAGAAGTTGTGATGGAAAAAAAACGACAACAAAACAGCCAATCCATACAGTGAGTCACAACGACTTACCTCTAATTTACCCTCCATTATTCTGTTGTCAAAGTCACACTCTTGTTCTTGTCTGCCATCACCAGGGGCTGTTTTTATAGTGTTGCTGGAGGCCAACAGTGCTTTCTCAGGAAAAGGGTGCACATCAAACGCATTGCTTTTGTGGTTGGTGATCGATGAATCAATATGGCTGCTATCCCCCTTCTCCACATGTGGCATGTCTACTTTTTCACCTCCCGCCGCCTCTCTCTTTTCCCGTTTGCGTCGACTGCAGGTGGTAGTGATCAGGATGATGCCTAGCAAGAGGAGGGAGCAGCTCCCTGCTAGGACAATGATAATGGCTATGGACATGTCCCATTCAAAGACCTCCTCGCTGTCGCTTTGCACCATAGCGGGAACACTGGGAGGGGTGCCTTCGATGAGAGCGAGGTGTATAGTGGCCGTGGAGGTCAGAGAAGGCGTCCCATTGTCATTGACAGCCACTACGACTCTCAGTGTTTCAGACAGGTCATAGTTCAGCTCACAACTCACATGTAACTCCCCAGTAACCTTGTTGATGGAGAAACCCAAGTGTCCCCCACCAGTGATGCTGTAAGACAGCTGTGCGTTTATGCCTTCGTCAGCGTCCGTGGCCTTTAACCGGGTTACAACATAACCTGCAGGTGCATGTTTGGGCAGGAAAACCTCGGCGGATCCCTTATTAAGGACAGGTTCCACGATGGAGGGAGAGTTGTCATTCTGATCCATTATTTTTAGATTAATGATGGCACTGCTCTGAAGCTGGGGCAAGCCCCCATCACTTGCCTGGACGTGTACCTCCAGATGTTTCATGACTTCATAGTTGAAGCTTCTCAGTGCATATATTGAACCAGAGATTGCATTTAGAGATACAAACGTGTTGACGGGTGATCCCATTATAACACTGTCTAAAAGTCTGTATGTAATTTTGCCATTAGTCCCCAAGTCTGCATCTCTGGCCTCAACCGTGGTAATATATGCCCCTGGTGCATTATTTTCTACGACAGAAACTTCATAGACAGGTTTAGTAAAGTGTGGGGCGTTGTCATTCTCGTCGCTTAGCCTGATGGTGTATTCTGTGATTTTTCTCAATGGAGGTGACCCGAAATCTTCAGCCATCACAGTTAAATTGTACTCGCTTATCTTCTCCCTGTCCAGGGCTGCTGCGGTGACAATCATGTAGCTGTCCTCATAAGCCTGTTTAAGTTTGAAATGGTCGTTCCCATATAAGGTGCAATGGACCTGGCTGTTAACGCCCGAGTCCCCGTCCGAGGTGCTGATCAGAGCCACTAGGCTGTCCTTTTCTGCTGTCTCGCTAATACACGCGATGCCTGTTGAGATGGAGGTCATTGGCGTAATACTGATTTCCGGGGCATTGTCATTAACGTCTTTGACATTAATTATTATTTTACAGATGGCGGGGATCGGGTTGGCTCCTAGATCAGTCGCCTGCACGTCTAACTCATATGTTTTCTTGGTCTCAAAATCCACTGGGTTCTTGAGCGTTATGCGTCCGGATTTACTGTACACTTCGAAAAGTTCTCGGATCTCTGCAGAAACCTGTTTTCCGAATCCATAGACCACCTCTCCGTTTAAACCTTCATCTGGATCAACTGCATTTAAGTCCAATAAAACGAATCCAACCGGTGCGTCCTCGGGCAAAGTGACCGAGAAATTATTCTGGTCAAAAACAGGACGGTTGTCATTAAAGTCCGTCACCTGTATTGTTATTTTTGTTGAACCCGACCTAAATGGGTTTCCTCCGTCGGTGGCAATAAGCTCCACCACATAAGATGACTGAGTCTCCCTGTCTAACTCTTTCATTAGCACCAACTCCGCATACTTAACCCCATCCGCTCTCAAAAGCACATCAATGGAAAAATGACCGTTGTCAGAAATTTGATAGCTTTGGATGTAGTTTGATCCGACGTCTGCGTCCTCGGCTGGGTCCAAAGGAATGCGGAACCCCACATCAGCATTTTCAGAGATCTCCACTGTACATTCCTTGTTTGGAAACTCTGGAGAGTTATCATTGATGTCTTTTACCTCGACCTCGACATGAATCAATTTGTACCTCTCTTTTGAAAAACTGACAACATCAAAAGTGATGAGACACTGTAAAGTGTGCCTGCAGATTCTCTCTCTGTCAATCCTTTCCCCGACAGTAAGCTCCCCGTCGCTTTCTCTCACCCTGATAAAATAATTGTTGAATTGTTTCATCATTCTAAAATTAGTCTTGGAGCTAAAAGAGCGTCTCAGGGACATGTCCATGGCCAGGTTACCGATCACTGTTCCTGGACTTCGCTCCTCGTTGGTCTGGTATTTCAGAGTATTTCCCTCAGTCTCAGCCAGGGAGACAAATAACATTTGTAGTATTATGAATCCAAAAATCGACCGATGCCAACCTGTTAAAATGCCACGCATCATTTTCAAAACCGCAGGTTAGTTGGTTAGTTCAGAACAAAGCCGTTTCACTTTCACTCAATAGATTAGATCACTTCAACTGCTGAAAATGCCTCCTCTATACAGCAACAACATCAGCTTCTCTGAACTGTGCTGAAGGTCAGGTGTTCATTGCGCGCAGCCAGTCAAGCAGGCGCGCTTGTTGCCTCCCGCCTTCCTTCCACACAGCTTCACATCCTGCGGTGGCCGGAGAGTTATAACCCACAGCTTCCCATGCTAATGAGACCAAGTGTGACCAATCCCCCGCTTTAGAATTAAAAATAGGCAGTATAAAAGACATCCTAAGCCTGTTTTCGATGTGCATAGAGCTCAACCAGCAAAATAAAAAGATCTGGACTGCTAGGAGACAAGTTTTGCAGAATGGCTTTGAATGAGTGTGGACAGGCATATCCGCAAGAAGTAGGGCTGCTGAGGGTGGTGATCTATATTATTATAATTTATAATTATACTTTTTTTTATCAGGGGGTCCTTCAGCACCCTCAAAACCCCTACTTATCGAGGCTATGCCTGTGCACATTCATTCAAAGCCATATATACAGTACCAGTCAAAAGTTTTTCTTTATTTTTACTATTTTCTACATTGTAGAATAATAGTGAAGATATCAAAACTATGAAATAACATATATGGAATCATGTAGTAACCAAAAAAGTGTTAAACAAATCTAAATATATTTTATATTTGAGATTCTTCAAAGTAGCCACCCTTTGCCTTGATGACAGCTCTGCACACTCTTGGCATTCTCTCAACCAGCTTCACGGGGTAGTCACCTGGAATGCATTTCAATTAACAGGTGTGCCTTGTTAAAAGTGAATTTGTGGAATTTATTTCCTTCTTAATGTGTTTGAGCCAATCAGCTGTGTTGTGACAAGGTAGAGGTGGTATACAGAAGATAGCCCTATTTGGTTAAAGACCAAGTCCATATTATGGCAAGAACAGCTCAAATAAGCAAAAAGAAACGACAGTCCATCATTACTACAAGACATGAAGGTCGGTCAATCCCAAAAATTTCAAGAACTTTGAAAGCTTCTTCAAGTGCAGTCGCAAAAACCATCAAGCGCTATGATGAAACTGGCTCTCATGAGCACCGCCACAGGAATGGAAGACCCAGAGTTACCTCTGCTGCAGAGGATAAGTTCATTAGAGTTAACTGCACCTCAGATTGCAGCCCAATAAATGCTTCACAGAGTTCAAGTAACAGACACATCTCAACATCAAGACTGTGTGAATCAGGCCTTCATGGTCGAATTGCTGCAAAGAACCCACTACTAAAGGACACCAATAAGAAGAAGAGACTTGCTTGAGCCAAGAAACATGAGCAATGGACATTAGACTGGTGGAAATCTGTTAATTGGTCTGATGAGTCCAAATTTAAGATTTTTGGTTCCAACCACCGTGTCTTTGTGACACGCAGAGTAGGTGAAAGGATGATCTCCGTATGTGTGGTTCCCACCGTGAAGAATGGAGGAGGAGGTGTGATGGTGTGGGGGTGCTTTGCTGGTGACACTGTCAGTGATTTATTTAGAATTCAAGGCACACTTAACCAGCATGGCTACCACAGCATTAGAAATCAGCATTCTGCAGCGATACGCCATCCCATCTGGTTTGCGCTTAGTGGGACTATCATTTGTTTTCAACAGGACAGTGACCCAACACACCTCCAGGCCGTGTAAGGACTATTTGACCAAGAAGGAGAGTGATGCAGTGCTGCATCAGATGACCTGGCCTCCACAATCACCCGACCTCAACCCAATTGAGATGGTTTGGGATGAGTTGGACCGCAGAGTGAAGGAAAAGCAGCCAACAAGTGCTCAGCATATGTGGGAACTCCTTCAAGACTGTTGGAAAAGCATTCCAGGTGAAGCTGGTTGAGTGAATGCCAAGAGTGTGCAAAGGGTGGCTGGCTACTTTGAAGAATCTAAAATCTAAAATATATTTTGATTTGTTTAACACTTTTTTGGATACTACATGATTCCATATGTGTTATTTCATAGTTGTTGATGTCTTCACTATTATTCTACAATGTAGAAAATAGTACAAAGAAAGAAAAACCCTTGAATGAGTAGGTGTGTCCAAACTTTTGACAGGTACTGTGTATATATATATATATATATACAGTTGAAGTCGGAAGTTTACATACACCTTAGCTAAATACATTTAAACTCTGTTTTTTCACAATTCCTGACATTTAATCCTTGTAAAAATTCCCTGTTTTAGGTCAGATAGGATCACCACTTTATTTTAAGAATGTGAAATGTCAGAATAATAGTTGAGAGAATTATTTATTTCAGCTTTTATTTATTTCATCACATTCCACGTTGGTCAGAAGTTTACACACACTCAATTAGTATTTGGTAGCATTGCCTTTAAATTGTTGAACTTGGGTCAAACGTTTCGGGTAGCCTTCCACAAGCTTCCCAAAACCTATTTTACATCTCTGGCTACCGGTAGGCCTGTTTGAAGTTCATGGTAATACACATTGTAGCCAAGTCTAGTAAATTAACCATATGGGTTAGGGTGACCATCCTGTTTTTTACGGGACAGTTTCAGCCCCATTTCAGGTATCCCGACTTTTCAGGCAAAACAAAAGCTAAATTTGTCAGCAAGACGCATCAATTAATGTAGGCCTAATCAATGGCAATCTGCGAATTTCATTAGGCACTCTTTTTGGTGTTTTGTAAACAGATGTCTATTTCCATTCATCAAATGGTGCGAGTGTACATGGATTGTTTGGATGCTGCAATTATTTTGGAGTGGACGAACGTGCACAGGTAGCCTACTTTTTGAAGTTATTTATTTGACAAATCGCAAGCGCGTGCACCCAGGGACTGCCCAGAATGTCACAGTGTAATTTACACTCTGATAACATGGCAACACAGGTATTTCTATAGCGCACAGGGCTGCAGGCCAGACGGTTGTGGGTTCGCAGACCACTGTGGACAAAGATCTCCTTCATAGAAAAGCATTGCATGAATCTATCATCGTGTTTGCAGAATCTTTTTTAATACCACACAAATTACCGAAATGACAGGCTAACTGTCGACAGAGAGATAGGCCTATGTGTTCATCTCATCATATTTCTCCAATGCCAAATCAGCGTGTCCTGCTTGCAACGAAACTGTCCCTGTTTGCAAATAATTAAATCTGAGACTTCATTAGGAATCTGAGCATGGTACTTTCAAAAGTTAGGCCTACCTTTCCACCCCAGACAGAGTAGGCCTACCGATGCAGAAAAATGTAAGCTTTAACTGCTGGCTACTCTTCTTCCGTGGATTAACCCAACGAGAGAAGGTCACAAGTGTTTCCCTCAAAGCTGTCTGGGTTTAAACATCTTCTATTGTACAGAAAGTGAATAGCTTAATCAATTGAAAGTGACAGAATTAGATTACTTCCCAAGCGAAAGTCAGCCTCTGAATGTCAAAGAAATAAAACATTGATGTCCCCATATGCATCGGAGTCACGTCTTTCCCGGGTATTTTACAGCTTGTTTCTAGCATAAAGCATTTTGGACCAAAGAGAGAAGGTCAGAAGTGCTAGGGCCATCTACTTGAACCGCTACCTGTCTTCCCAGTTGCTTTGTGTGTGAACTGCTGACCGCTCATAACTTGCAGATGATTGTTAACACATCAACCAGGATTACGGGGGCGGGGCAGTTTGTGACTGTTGCTGTTTTGGTAATCAGTGGCTGTATTGGAGGGGGAGTGGTTTCTCCTCTCCTAGGCAACCAGGGAGGTGTGCTCTTCACCTGTTCAAGGCAATTAGCAATTAGTATTAGTACTTCAATCTCCCCTGTTTTCTCAGCGGCAGCTGTAAACTGCGGTCGTGTCAGCAGTGGTCTCATCGCAAAACTAAGACTGTCACCGAAAACAAAGACGGTTCTGCCGAGTTGTTCTGCGGAGTTGTTCAAGGAGTTGTTCAAGGAAGGAAAGAGAGGAAGGCTCCACACCACTCTCTCACTTTAGTATCTTACCTAGTTATTTATGATGATCTAATTTAGCTCTTTTGTAGCTTTGGCAACTACGTGTGTGTTTTCTGTACTTGTTCTCTCCTCTCCCTGTAGGCTTTACAGATGCTCCCCACCCATTGGTTGCAACCCTTCTAATTTAGTATACACTGCGCGCACAACCCATGTGGAATTCCTGGTCTCTGGCAGCGTTTGGCACTGCCGATCTGCGGTCAAGAACGTCGAGTTCATCTCAGCCTATACTACACTTCAGTCCCTTGACGTTTTGGCCCTGACGGAGACATGGATCACCCCAGAGAACACTGCTACTCGAGCTGCTCTCTCTTCATCTGACTATGTTTTCACTCATAGTCCGAGAGCATCTGGTCGTGGTGGTGATGGCACAGGGCTACTCATTTCTCTTAAGTGGAGATTTTCTCTTTTCTCCCTCTCTCACCTGTCCATCTCCCCATTTGAATTCCATGCTGTCACTGTCACTCAAGCTTAACATCATTGCCATCTATCGCCCACCAGGTATCCTTAGAGTTCCTCAATGAGCTTGACACCTTGATAAGATAATTTCCTGACGACGTCTCACCGCTCTTCTTACTTGGCGACTTCAACCTCCTGACATCTGCCTTTGATTCATTTCTTTCCAATGTTAACTTTCCCCTCCTTGCTTCTTTTGACCTCACACTTTCCCAGTCCCCTCACACTCACAAGGCAGGCAATACGCTTGACCTCATCTTTACTAGAGGCTGTTCGCCTACTAATATCACTGCAGCCCCCCTCCAGGTCTCTGATCACTACTTTGTTTCCTCACCGGTCTCCCTCTCCTCCAACCCTAACTACTCAGCCCCTACCCAGATGGTCATGGGGACGTCGTCGCAATCTTCGCTCTTTCTCTCCCTCCACTCTCTCCTCTTCTATCCTATCATCTCTCCCTTCTGCTAAATCTTTCTCCCTCCTGTCTCCTGATTCTGCCTCTTTGACCCTACTCAACTCCCTTTCCACATCCAATGACTTGCACTGTCCCCTTTCCTCCCGGCCGGCTCGGCCCTCCCCTCCCCTGATGCTCCCTGGCTGAGTGACTCATTGCGAGCTTATAGAACAAGGCTGCAGCCAGCTGAGCGAAAATGGAGGAAAATTAAACTTCCAGAGGACCTATCATCCTTTTACTCCCTCCTCTCTACCTTCTCTTCCTCTGTGTCCACTGCTAAAGCCACTTTCTATCTTAAGCTAACAAAGGTTAGGCCTGTGCTTTTTGCCATTTTCTTTAATAAATGGTAGGCCTATGGCCTCTCATACCCC